GTCTCATTGTATTAAGAGAAATACAGCATTAAAACAATAATAACATGTAAGTCAGGAGAAGGGATAGTCTTTTTAACAAAGAGTGGTGGATCAATTTGATCTGTGCAGGGACAAAATGAACCTCACCCATATACAGAAAATGTCTTTAAATGGATTATAGACTTAAATGTAAGAGATAAAACTATTAAGCTTCTAGAATAAAACATCAAAGATATTTTTCATGGGCTTAGGTCAGGCAAAGATTTCTTAGAAATGATACAGAAAGCACAAACCATGAAAGAAAAAAATTGATAAACTAGATGTCATCAAAAGTATAAATATTTGTTCTTCAAAAGACACTGGTAAGAAAATGGAAATTCAGGGAGAAAATGAAATGCAACTGGGAGAAAATATTGGCAAAACACATACCTGGCAAAGGACTGGTATGGAGAATATATAAAATAACTCTCACAACTCAACAGTAGGAAGACACAACCAGATTTTTAAATGAGTAAAGAGTTCACCAAAGACAAAAGTTCACCGTAGACAAAAAGTAAGTAAGCACATAAAAATCTGTCCAATTTTTTTTTTTTTGGTGAGAATACATATTTTTATTGAGCAGTTGGGCATAATGGCTTAACTTCTTCATGAGCTTTGCTCAGTTTTATTCATTTTTAATTTTTTTAAAGCTGCCCAATATTAATATCACTGGAGAAATGTAAATTAAAACTGCAGTGAAACATCCCTACATATGCAGTAGAATGGTTAAAATTAAAAGCCACTCAATACCAAGTGTTGCCAAGGCTGTAGAGCAACAGGAACTGCCATGTGTTGTCAGTGGGAATGCAAACTGGTATAGACACTTTGGGGAAAAAAGCTTGACAATTTATTATAAAGGTAAACCTATAATTACCATACAACCCAGCAATCCTGTTCTTAAGTATTTACTCAAAAGAAATGAAAACATGTGTCCCCACATAGACTTGGATGTGAATGTTATTAGCAGCTTTATGCATAATGGCAAAAAAAAAAAAAAAAGGAAACAGCACAAGTATCCATCAACTGTTGAACGAATAAACAAATGTGCTATGTCCACACAAGGGAATATTAGTCACCAATAAACAGGAAAACACTACTGATACATAGAACAACATGGATTAGCTCATGTGATTATGGAGACTGGGAAGCCCAAGATCTACCATTTGCAAGCTGTAGGCCCAGGAAAACCAGCGGTGTAGTCCGGGTCCAAACCCAAAGCTCTGAGAACCAGGGGTGTCAATGGAGTCAATCCCAGCCTGAAACTGAAAACTTGGGAACCAGGAGTGCTGATGTCCAAGGGCAGGAGAAGACAGGTGTCTCAGCTCTATTCAGACCCTCAAGGACTGAGTGATGCCACCCCTGTTGGTGAGACCCATCTTCTTTCCTCATCTACTAACTCAAATACTAATGTCTTCCTGAAACACCCTCACAGGCACACCCAAAAATGATGTTTCATAGTTGTCTGGGCCTCCCTTAGCCCCGTGACGTTGATAGGTAAAAATATTAGCATTAACAACTACCCAAAGACAAGCTCTGGCACTTTTCAACACCAAAAGACTGGAATACAGAAAATAAAATTAAGTCTTACAAATCAGTACAAAAAAACAAAAACAAAACAGCAACAACAAACCCACAGGCACCCAATAAAAATGGACAAAAGACATTAACAGGCATTTCACAAAGGAGGATATCCAATTGGCCAAAAAAGGATGAAAAGGTGATCAACCAACCACATTAGTCATTAAAATAAAATTTACTCGGGGCGCCTGGGTGGCTCAGGCGTTAAGCATCTGCCTTCAGCTCAGGTCATGATCCCGGGGTCCTGGTATCGAGCCCTGCGTTGGGCTCCCTGCTCAGCAGGAAGTCTGCTTCTCCCTCTCCCACTCCCCCTGCTTGTGTTCCCTCTCTCGCTGTGTCTCTCTCTGTCAAATAAATAAATAAAATCTTAAAAAAAATAAAATAAAAATTACTCTACCATTACTTATCCACCAGCCGGGGGGAGGAGACAAAACCCAGAAAATCTAACAATGATCTGTGTTGGTGAGACTGTGGAGCAGTAGAAACCCTCATACAGTGATAGCAGCAATGTAAACTGGTATGATCACTTTGGAAATCAGTTTGACATTACATAATAAAATTAAGCATACTTATACTGCACAAGCAGCAATCCTCCAACAAGGTATATACTCTAGAGAAACTCCTGAATGTGTGTACCAGTGCCTTAGCTTGGGTCTAGACAAGGACTTGGCACTTGGGTAGTTTATCTTGGGATGTAGTCCTGAAGAACAGGAGTGGCACACTAGAATGATTAGACCAGGGAGGAAGGAAAGCCATTCAAAGGGGGGTGTCATTGAGTTGTTAGCACTGTGAGCAACTGGGGCTCAATCCTGCTGGACAGCTTCTGAGAAACTGTGTAAAGTGAGTTGCCCACCTGTGACCTGGAAATGGGGAATATTTATCCTTTGGCTCCTGTCCCCATTGGTCAAAGATCCCTTTTCTTGGGATCTATGAGTAGAATAAATGACCTTTGCCATGGCAGTCATCTCTTGATCTGCTGGCCTCACCCTATCTGAATAAGAAAACCTTTTAAAACATCTACTGAGAATACTTGAATAAATGGTCCTATAGCTACACAATGAAATACTATACAGCCATATATAGCCACAAACAACAAAACAAGTATGATTCCCACAAACAGAATTTTGACACAAAAAAATACATCAAGTATGATTTCATTTATACAAAGTTCAAAATAGGTAAGATGAATCTATAGCATGGAGGGATGCATACATAGGAAGTCAAACTGTAAAGAAAAGCAAAGAAATATGTATCACAAATGTCAAGATAGTAATTACTTCCAGGAGAGGAGGCAGGGGATTGTGATTTGGGGAGAGGGGCAGATGGAGAGCTTCTGGGGAACTGGTAATGGTCACAGTAATATTTCCTCACCGAGTGATTTTAACAGATTTTCTTTTTAGTGATTCTTTAAATTGTACATATGTATTTTCTGCATTTGATGCATATGTCCTATCTCTTAATCAAAATATTTTTGAATTGTTATCATGTAGCTTGATGAACAGAGAGATAAAGAATGGGAATACAAATGGATCAAAATGTTAATTGTATTATCTACCTGGTGCAAATGCGGGTGCTCGCTGACTATAGCACCACAAAGAGGCTGGTATGGCTGCAGCAGAGTCTGGGAGGGAGATGCGGTGGGGACAGACAGGGACAGACATACAGGCAGGGACCAGGCTACAGGGGACCTATACACCAGATTAAGGAGCTTAGCCTTTTTCCTGCTGGCAATGAACAGTAAGAATCCGGCATTTCTTCTTCACATTGTGTGCTGGGGCTGGCGGAGGAAAACGTCCACCTTCACCAGAGCCTCAAAGGAAGACCTAACCCCTCACCGTCAAGAGCAAGAGCCTTGGCGGAAGGAGTCAGCCGCCTGGCTTGCCCAGCTCCCTGCAGAGCATGTGAAGAGCAAGCCGCTGTGCATCTCTGGCGGGTCTGCCCTGTGCTCCTCCTAGGCCACGGGGATAGATGCAACTGTCCTTATTTTGCAGACACAGCCAGTAGGTGATAGAACAGGATGTGGATTCATTTGAAGTCATTTGAGACAGTCCACGTTTTTAACGACTTGCTATACCGCCTCTGCAAGACTGCGGCACACATCATTCTGGGGGCGAGGGAGAGAGATGGCAAGTCAGCAGTATGTAAGGATGGCAGAGCCACGGGAGGGGATGAGATCGCTGGGAGAAGAATACCAGAACTCCCCTTGAGACTATCAATAGAAAGAGGGCATCCTGGGAAGGGTGTTTGGGGTGAGATGGGAAGAGGCCAGCTTGATGTGCACTGAGGAGACTAGACTTTTTAAAGAAAAATGGCTTTGAAGAGAAGGAAAAAGAAGAAGGTAGATGGAGGGCAGGGTGGACAACGTCTCGTCTGGTTATTGCACAATGGAACATTTGCCAAAATGTCTACAAAAAGTCTGGTGCTAGTTCTTGTTACTTTGATCCATAATAAATTAGAAGTAGGACTATTTGATTTTAGATAGGAAATCTAGAGCAGAATATGTCTCCTTAAGAGCAGATAAGGGAATACCATAAGCAGAGGTTCAAAAGTGTAAATGACTTAGAATTATGTTGCTATCTATAAAACTGTACTATTGGAAACAGCGCAAATTTCCACCAGTAAGAGAATGCTTTAAAACGGTGGTACATTCCTGCAGTTCTCTGCCTCGTCCATCCCAGCTACTTTGTCTCTGCGTGTCTGCGCCCTTTTACTTTGGTTGATAGGTAAACATTTGATTTTGCTTTCAGATGAACTGGCAGCAATGCATTCCTGTCTGGGCAAAGTGTTAAGACGGTCATTGTCCTTACAGAGCAAGGGAATCGGCTTTGGCATCAGATTGACTCGGTGCTAATCTTACCTTCACTGTTTACTCCTCTATAAAATGGTAACGATCTCTACCTTTGTCTGTTACCAAAATATAATGCCTGCTCCATGCCACGCACTGTTCTAAGCCTCTGCAGAGGTGAACTCATTTGTCCCATCCATCACCCCTCTGAGCTAGATACTGTGGTTTGCTTGTTTTTCTAATAAAGAAACTGAGGCACAGACGGGTTAAGTGACTTGGCAGGGTCACAAAGCTGGTGACTAGGGGAGTGTGTTGATTCGGGATTTGAACGCCCACCACCGTCTGGCTGCAGAACCCGTGCCATCCAACAGGAAACGAGCCCATCCCCGGACCTGGCACGCGGTGAGGGCTCTGCGCACGGCGGCTGCAGGACGTGCAGCGTGCGAGTGGACTCTGCTTTCCGGGGAGCCTGGACTTCTCAAGGCGGGCGTGAGGCGGCGGGGGCTTCCCGGGGTGAGGACCCAGCCCGGGAATCCTGCGGCGGTCGGAAGCCGAGCCCGAAGTTCCGCGCGTCCGGCGCAGGGGGGCGCTGCAGCTCTCGCCGACCGCCCGCGCGCTCCAGGCGGTCCCCGCGGCAGGACGCGCCGCTGCAAGATGTCCGTGCGCCGCGGCCAGCGGCCCGCGCGGCCCGCCACCCGCCTCTCCTGGCTGCTGTGCTGCAGCGCCCTGCTGTCCCCCGCCGCGGGCTACGTGATCGTGAGCTCGGTGTCCTGGGCCGTCACCAACGAGGTGGACGAGGAGCTGGACAGCGCCTCCACCGAGGAGGCGCTGCCCGCGCTGCTGGAGGACTCGGGCAGCATCTGGCAGCGCAGCTTCCCGGCCTCGGCGCACAAGGAGGACGCGCACCTGCCGCCCCCGCCCGGCGCCGCCCGCGCCAGGCCGCCCCCTGCGCCGCCCGGGATGTTCTCCTACCGGCGCGAGAGCGGCCCCAGGCTGCGCCCCGGCACCGCCCGCTTCCTGGCCCACGCCAGCGCCTGGGGCTGTCTGGCCACCGTGTCCGCCCACGAGAAGGTAAGCCGCCCCGCAGGGAGCCGGCTGCAGGTGCGTGCCTCGCGGTGGCCTGGGGACCGGGAAAGGCTAGCGACCGCCCCCCCCCTCCGTGCTCCGCCCCGGGTCTCACAGACGTGCCCGGCGGGTTGGGTTGCACGGTGGACAGCGCATAAATAACGGAACCAGATTGTGCTTTGCTTAACCTGGCAAAGGGGGAGGAGGGTGCTGACAGCCAGGCATCCTGCCAGGTGGATGGGCACTGAGGTGCAGTCTTGAGGTGGTCAAAGAGGCGTACACATAACCAGCGCCTGACCCGACACCTGCGCAAAAGAAGCCAGACCCGCCTTTGGCATCACAGAGTGGTGCGGGCAGCCTCCCAGCCCACGGCACCCAACAGACCCGAACTTCGAGGTCACCTACTGACACTGGGGACTGGGAGAAAGACACCACGGGGGCTGTGGTGGAAATTGACATTTTGAAATATGGAACTCAAGAATTTTTCCGGAAAGGAGGTTTGGGGTGCAAAGTGTATACATGCTGGAATGAGCTGTTTTCAGCTACAGTTTTATCATTCAGTTCGCAAATGTTTTACTCACCTGTTAGCCAGGTTTCCACCTTAAGCCAAAATGACATGGATAAATATGAGGATGTGCCATCCATAATTACACACCCTCCAGAAAGCTTTCAGGGCTGGTAAGGGTTTTATTACAGGGAGGTAGTTTGAAATCCTATTGAATTTATGCAAAACCAATTTTTTTGGAACATGTAGGTCACTGGGCAGCAAGCCAGCTCTGACCCAGGTATGGGTCTCACCCATCTGGAAACTGGCCAAGTCACTGGGTTGTCCACTTTGCTTTCCTCCTATATGAAACTTAGTGGTTGACTATGTAGTTTTGAAGTTCATGTTTTACTCTTAAAAAATAAGTACGTTTATTCTGATTATGGCAGTGATCTGAACCACTGTCACAGCATCCAGATGGTTTCTCAGTTACATATTATGCTCCTAAGACACACCTTACAAAGATATGAAGCTGATCTTGGTTTAAAACACAAATTATTTCAGGGCGCGTGGCTGGCTCAGTTAGAAGAGCATGCGACTCTCGATCTGGGGGTTGTGAGTTTGAGCCCCACTTTGGATGTAGAGATCACTTAAAGAAATACTTTTTTTTAAAAAAAAGAAGGAGCTAGAGTGAATGTTTAAAAAAATACACAGATTGTTAAAAGCAATTAAAAGTCTAGTGCCAATGTACTGAAGATACTTTGACTTTCAACATCTCTTTTCTTAGCTTTGTTAGGAATTCCCCTTTCCAGTATTGACATTTAATCCAAATTCAGTACATTCAGGGAACATTTCCCATGTATACATCACGTGTGCAAAGCATGACTTCTAGGCAGTTATGACAAGCTGAAAAACAGAATCTGTGAATTGAACTTATATTACCATTTTGGAAGACTCCTGAACATTGCATCTCCTTCGAAGATGAAAGCCATCCCTTATTCCAAGTCTACACACACTGCTACCATGTAACACTTTATGCAAAGACAGCCCCTGAGTTCTGAGCTCAGTGACAATAAAGAACACTCTGTAAAGGGTAAATAAAGCTCATGAAGTTTGGGATGCAGGACGCAGCAGGGCTTGGGAAAACCTAAGAAATAATTGCACATATGTCTGAGAACTTCACCTCCTCCACAGGATGATCATGAACAAAAGTGAGTGTAGCATGTTTCTGTGACTTCAGGGTGAGTTGCTGAATTGTATAATGAAATATTGATTACAATTAAAAAAAAAAAGAAAGAAAATGGTGTGGCTCTAAAAGAAACAGTAATAGAAAGTTCCCGGAGTCCAAAAATCACATAAGATATTAAAGTTAAGACCTAAGTTCTATCCCTGAAGTTTTCCAAAACCTTGTGAGAGTGGGCCCTCCATGGGCAGCATGTGGGAAGGGTTCTAGAACCGCTCCATAAATTTCATCGCCCCTCCCACAAATAACTTTAAATTTCATAAAGGGAGTATTTTTCTATGTATATGCAGGAGGTTCAAGAATAATCCCCTAGCTGTTCTTCCAAACAGAATGCCCCTGCTCAGCACTTCTGTAGAAATTCTGGAGCCATCCCTGGGTGAACTGGGTCAGTTGGGAACCACTGTGCCTTCATGTACTACCTGTTGAAACCATGGTGATGCCATGCCATCCCCGTGGCTATATTTCCTGGCCAGAGACACAAAGGAAGCTCCTGCCTCAGATCAATCCAAAACCCTGCATTGAAAAAGCCTTTTTCGCTGTTTGTTAGATCCCAGGACTGCCGTTTGGGAACTGCCTGCCCTTGAGCGATGGCCCCTTGAACAACAGCACTGGGGTTCCTTTCTTCTATGTGACACCCAGGGACCCTGCAGTGGCCGATCTGATGAAGAACCCCATGGCCTCCCTCCTGCTGCCGGAATCAGAAGGAGAATTCTGCAGGTAGACGAAGGGGTCAGTCTTGCCGGCACAGGTCCTCTGCATAAAGCAGAGAGACTATGGGGTGGGACCTCTCTGCGTCGCGGGACTTTAACAGGGCCCTGAGATGCAAAGTGATGTGTTCGCCAACCTGAAGTGGAAAGAGTGGCTTTCTACTCCTTGGAATCAGATAAATAGAATTCCGCCACTTACCAAGCTATGTGGTTGGGGGCAAGTGGCTTCAACTTTGGGAGCCTCGGCTTCCTCCTCTGTGAAATGGGAATAATAATTCCTACCTCATAGGGTGACTGGGAGGGTTGAGGTTCTTGTACAATACGTGGTGGGCAAATGGCAGGTCTTGTTGTGATGGAAAAGGGGTAGGGAGGGGAGGTTGGGGAAGGAAGGATCCAGTAGTTGGTCTGTGAGGCCCACATAGCATGGAATCCGTTTACCGCCCCCCAGCGGGCTCCCTAGTTCACTCTGTTTATTGTTTTTCAAATTAATTTCAAACCCACCATCCCCCCCCAAGATGTGTATGCACAAAGACCCCGAATTCTTTAACACACTTTTTCAAAAACTCTAAAAGAAAAGACACTTAAATGCAGATGGAACATTAACCCAGCACCACTGTGTAGAGCTTGAAATCGCATCCTGCCAAGCTTGTGTGGGGGCCACATGGCAGGAGCCCCCTGAGGAGCAGCAAATGCAGCAGGGGGCCTCAGCGGTCCCTTAACCCCGTGGACTCCGTCACTTCACTGTAAAAGGTAGTGACACTTTAGGAACTAGGATGGGATTCATCCCAATTCCAAAATTCTATTATCATTTTTTTTAAAGATTTTATTTATTTGACAGGGACACAGTGAGAGCGGGAACACAAGCAGGGGGAGTGGGAGAGGGAGAAGCAGGCTTCCCGCGGAGCAGGGAGCCCGATGCGGGGCTCGATCCCAGGACCCTGCGATCATGACCTGAGCCGAAGGCAGACGCTTAATGACTGAGCCACCCAGGCGCCCCAAAATTCTATTATTCTTTATGCAAAGCATAAAAAACATATTAAGCAAACAAACTGATTAGTTCCTTGGGGGTTGGGAGGTGTTAATAATCAAAGCAACAACATGCTGTAAAATGCCACCCAGATAAAAGACCCTGTCACTTACCCTTAGAACACTGACAAGGAGGGACTGCATTGGGCTGGAGACAGTTCAGCTGACCCACTTCCCTATAGGGTCTGGCAAAAAGCCAGGAAAGGGGGTGTTTCCTCTTTCATGGAATATTCTCTCTGTTCTTGGCCAGCCAAGCCTGCTGGCACCAGAAGTATATTCCCAGGATACCTTTCTAAACGTCGGGGAGTTCCTAAGTCAGGCATCCTAAAAGTCGTCACCAGGCCGGAGCATGTTGATGCCACACCTGCTCTTGGAGACACGGAGCAGAGTGCGCAGCCGCGGCAGCGCTCAGGGTGTGGGAGGAATTGTCAACTGGATGGTCCCAGGCGGAAGTCAGCTGGAGCTGAAAGCTGGCAGCCATGAGAAATCCGGCTTCGAGAGGTCCTCGCTGGGGTGGATCCAGGTCTATAAGAACTGGGTGAGCCCGTGTGCACGGCCTGGAACCGTGCGTGCTGACCAATTTCAGGCGTGCAGACCCCCTACAGGAGGCGCAAACCTCAGGGCACCACAAGGGCCGAGGCAGCTCGGGACCCGAGGTGGCCCCCCCCAGGCCCCAGGGCCACGGTGTCTCAGCATGCTTGTACGTCTGGCCTGGAAGAGGAGAGATGAGCTGCCACCCTTGGTACCCAGGTCTAGATCCTCATGCGAAACCACTTCTCAGAACTGCTCCCCCCAACCTTGCCCTGCTTAAGCTTCTGAAGTATTAAAATAGAGCTTAAAGAAATACACACAAAAGTCAAGTTTAGCCATAGGAAGCACCGAAGCTCAGGTGACCGGCAGTGGGGCTGGTTGTCACCCGGAGGGCCCCTACTCCCAATATGAACTGCCTGTGCCCAGGTGTGTTTCCTCTGGGTGAGCTTCATCATCCAAGTTCCGCATTACATTTTGGGTTTTGCCTGCAGAATCTTAGGGATGTCGAGCACAGAGACTTCGCAAGAGAGGCCAACACTGGAGCCCTGAATAATCAAGCCAAGCGGGAGCTCGTCGGGCCACAGGAGCATAGCAAGGCATCAGGTGGAAATGTCTGTGGCTAAGAACTAACTACCCCTACACGCAAGAAGTTCACCGTTACGGACTGGCAAGGCAATAACGGGCTGGCCCTCCTACTTGATCCCAGGGCCTAGAGGAATGGCCAGTGAGACCAGGGCTCTTTGTCAAGCACTTCAAAGCATTTCCTGCAGAGCAGCGGGATTAAAAAACAAAAACAAAACAAAAAAAAACTTCCCATTTCTCATGATGATGATAAATCAAAGCCACCTGATCCTTTCACGTTCAGAAGGCCGCTCATCCTCCGAAAACCAAACATTGCCTTCAGTCTTTAAAGCTGGTGTCCTTGGGAATTGAAAACATGCAACAGCATTTTTACCATCACATTTGGTGCATACTGTGTGCTCGTGGTCTTCTGCCGCTCTCTGTCCCTGGGGAGGGGCTGGGGCTACCCCATTTCTTCCCAAGTGGGCAGACAAATCCCGAACCCGTTCTTTCTGTGTGTTGCATCCCGGGGCTCTGCAGGCCCCGAGGGCCACGCAAGGGTGAAGAGCCCGCAGCAACTGAACCACAAACCAAGGCCAGACAGGAAGGAAGCAACGTGGCCGCTGATGCTCTAGAGAAGGAAAAGAAGTGCCTTCCCAGCCCTCTCCTGAATGGCCCCTGGGGCATTTCAGCTACAGCCTGCCTCTGTGTGCATCAGGGTTGGCCCCGGTGCCCGCAGAGTCTGCACTGGAACAGGCTGGTGAACCCACTTTCACGGACAGGGCACAGCCCCAGAATGAGGGCTGAACACGGTTCCTGTCCGAGGGTGAGCCCAGTGCATCTGTTTCTACTGCGAAGGCAGGCTGATCGACCCTCTGCGTGTAGAACTCCACACACAGATAGCTGTGTGTGTGTGTGTGCGCATATGCACACACGTGTGTGTACTATGACATGCATATCCAACTATTACCCGTTCCGAGGGCGTATACGTCAGTCACCCCCACTGGTTCCCTCCCAGTTTGCTCTGTCATCTTGAATTCATCCTCAATCCAGCAGCTAAAGTGATCTTTCAGAACCCACATCAGATCCTGGATTTCCCCTGCTGAAATGCTTTCACTGGGAAAAAATATCAAAATCCTCAGTAATGGCCTACGAGGCCCTGCACGGCTGGGAGCCTGCGTCCCTCTCAAAATAGATAAGAGAGCCTGAGTCTTTGCTAATTGACTTAATAGTGGACTGATATCATAGTTTTATTAATTTGAGAGGTTTAACCTAAAAGCTTGTTGTCATCAAAGCTGATATAGGTGTTTGGCATGCAGCTAAGAAATGTGCTTTTTCATTGAGATATAATTGACATCTAACATTATATGAGTTTAAGGTGTACAACGTGTAGATTTGATACATACACTGTGATTTCAACCACCAAAGTGTTCGCTCAGTGTTCACCTCTATCACGTCCCATAATTACCATTTATTTTTTGTGGTGAGAACATTTAAGATCTGGTCTGCTAGCAACTTTGACATATATAATATAGTATCATTGCCTGTGATCACTGTGGTGTGCATTAGCTGTCCAAAACTTATCCATCTTCCAATCACACGTCTGTATCCTTTGACCGACATCTCCCTGATTTCGCCCAATCTTCAGGCCCTGGTAACCACTGTCCTACTCTCTGTTTTGGTGAGTTTGGCTTTTTTTGGATTCCACATGTAAATGAGATCATACATATTTGTCTTTGACTCTTCTCGCTCAACATAATGTCCTCAGGGGCCATCTATGTTGTCCCAAATGGCAGGGTTTCCTTTTTCTCTTGGCTGAGGAATATTCCACTGTATATGTAAGAAGTGTTTTTCATTCAGTAATGCCACATGTATGTTGACACAGATCATGCCTCCCAAAAATGATACTTGGGTCTATCAACTGGCCTGTAAATTAACGATAAAGTTGGATCTAAACTGCTTTGTGTGGGGCGCCCGGGTGGCTCAGTCAGTTAAGCGTCTGCCTTCAGCTCAGGTTGTGATCCCAGGGTCCTGGGATCAAGCCCCACATCGGGCTCCCTGCTCAGTGGGAAGCCTGCTCTTCCCTCTCCCACTCCCCTTGCTTGTGTTCCCTCTCTCGCTGTGTCTCTCTCTGTCAAATAAATAAATATTTAAAAAAAAATAAACTGCTATGGGTGAAAGACATCAAGTATCCAAAACTCTCAGGAATTTTAATGGTGAAGAAAATACACAGCAGATGTCCTTTCCTTAACTGAAGCTGGGCAAGGCCAATATCTTGAGAATAAGCAAGGGAACAAATATTTCTCCATATTGTACAGGTTTACGGGGACCTTGAAGAGTTTTTCAGTGAATCGGTAAAATTCAGCCTGGGATACTCACTCCATCCCATCTAGTTATGGGATTTACCCCAAACTTTTTACCACCCTGATCCTCTAGTCCCTGAACGTACCCTAAAATGTCACAGTGACGTTACTAGATTTAATTGCACACAGTTGTCTTGACTCCCACCCCAGGGCATGTTGGATTGGGTGCTATTACCCTGCCCTTCTTCCTGAAGGAGATCATTTGGAAAGGGAATCTGACTGGATAATTAGCCGAAAGCGACTTTCAGTACCGAAAAAGGACAGGATTGGTGGTTTCTAAGGGACAAAGCTCAGGTTTCCCAGCTCAGGTTAACATGACAAATTGAGAATAAGATTTCAGTGTACAAGATTCACCGGCAATGAGCAACCCCCTGCTCTCTCATTTTCCTCTCCCCTCAAACATGTAGAGATGCTCTTATGCCTGCGTGAATTTATACTCAGACCAGAGGCCCAGTTGTATGAACATCCAGCAAATAATGATTGACAAGGAAAGCCCACTGGAGATATTTCTGCTGAAACATCTTTCCTT